GAACATACAGAGTTGCTGCAACATATATGTGTTTCTACCGATGTGAAAAACATTATATGCCAAGAGAAGTGCATGGGAGAGTACTCTGAAATTGTCACAACAAGTAAAAATAAACAAATCATCCTAAATAACCCAATGGTGAAAAAACATTCAGATTCATGGTACAAAATACCTGACAGAACAAATGCAATTTCTCCTGAAATCTATACAAGACAACCAAACTAATTAATCAACCAATGCCCTTGCATACATGATATAAAGTTTATGTCATGCTACTAATGAAACTGCATATTAAGGTACATTTTGAGTTAGTAAAAATAATGCTTAGATACAATGTATAATATGCACTGGAAGTGACATCTAAGTTCACACTCTGTGCCTGACAAGTCCAATGTACAGGAAGCCCCTAAGACTGAAGAATGCTGTGTCCTGCAAGAGCGGTGGGAATGTAAGGAAGTAATGATGAGAGCATGGGAACATCAGTTATGAACTTTCACATACGACAAAGAGAGGATGTAACATGGAGAATAAAAGAAGGCAAGCCTCTGATTTCAAAATCTTTTTTAAGAGTCAAACTCATAATCAAATGCAGTCATATATCTGAACTGATATTCAACAAATTGTTCATGTCTTCCAAGAAATGTAGGTGGATTGGGAAGGGATTTGCTTTCTATAATTGTCTTACAGCAATTTCCATGTTTGTCTTTTTCTTGAAGGAAAATGTGTATTATTCTAGATCATTTGTATCATGATTCCAGACTCAAGCTCTGGATCTGTCAGAAGACCCCCTGGATGCAAGTCCCTCTGGTCACAATTCAACTTCTAACGACAGAAGCACAGATGGGACACTGTAAACTACACCAATAGCCAGACAGCCAGCATTTGACGCTAAAGGCAGAATTGTTTACCTCTGCTCCCTTTTCTCTAAGTTTCACCCCTTGCTTTGCAGAATCCCTTTAAACCAATTGTGACTAACATTCTGACCCGTCACCATTCACCCCGCTTGTTTGTATCACATACAGGCCACTATCCTGCACCGTACACATGGCCTATTTTAGCCTAAGTATTATGTTGGCTGAAGGTACAAAGCTATATCTAGTTTCTTAAAACAGAACAGAAATGTATTAGTATTCTTATCAATTATCAAAAGATAAAATTAGCTAATATTTGTATGCTTTTCTAAATATTTTAAAATGTCATAAAAAAATCAATATATTTGTATTCTGATCCTATGCATGTGTATCCAGTGGAATTTACACCTTACTACCAAATAAAGTATACACTGGAATGTAGCCCCAGTCCTTCTCAGCCATATTGTCTATTCACATGCTTAAAGAATGGAACCTTTCCCTACTTTTGTTTTCTTCAAATGTAATCATTCTTGGAATATCTGCTTGGAACCAATTTGGCATGCTAAGTGAAGCAAGCAAAACCATTAGTGCTCGATTCTGCATGCAAAACCATAAGAGAAAATATGCAGATTAACAGCCAACACTGTTGGTTGTTACTGGAAAGAGGAAAAAACATTTGAGACACTAGATTCTGATTCAGCATTTTCCACATTCTTATCCTTCTCTTCATCCTTCATTTATATAGACTTTTTCAGCAAGTAGAGGGCCATAGTTGAACAAGGCTACACAATGAACAACAAAACCATTTACAAATATAGTATTTCTGTCACACGTACATGCATATATCCATCCACACACACACTTAACTGAATTGAGCCATAGTATCCATTTTTGGCTGTGTGATTACAAGTTTTAAGTATGAATATTGAGAGGAAAAATAAAGGAAACTGTGTGGACTACAAGAAAAATCCATATAAATTACTTATCAAACATACAGCCTTTTCAAGTCTTAATTTTATCATGTCTTCAGTACCAAGTTGGCTTTTCTCCATTCTGCTTTCTGTAACATCTTGACTGATGAAGAGATTCAGAGATTTTGAGATCTTATACATTTTTGTGATTTTCAAGTTGGCTTAAAGTAGTGTTTTAATATTGACTTAGAATGTTTGGTACAACCAAACTATACATGACTGTGATCATGGCTATTTAAGTCTAAAGTTAATTTTAGTTTGGATTTTTTATTTGGCAAGATTCATGAGTAGGTGATCACAACCAGATGTTCCCACTACAGTTGATCCTAACCTTAGAGTGACATAGGTATTTATATTTATCATATGGATCATTCCTTCTGTTATTTTGTTATGTTTAGCTCATTTTAATTACTATAACATATTTAGAAGGTTTTTTTTCCTTTACTGTACATTCACTGTTTAACGTAAACTTTTTTTTGTATTTCACCATTTTTTAACAAATACCATTTAAAATATCCAGACACTCTAAAATTAAATCGATTTGCTTGATACATTTCAACTAATGTTAGGCCCAGTCTTGAAATCACCTTTGTTTTCATCATCATATGGGACTGATGAATGCAATCCTCTTAATTTTCCTTGGAATCCGAACAGCGTTCAATATTATCACCCATGGTACCCTTCTAGAAAACTTGTCCAATAGGAATATTGCTGTGTGAGGTTTGTCTTATGCCTGGAGATTTCTGGTCAAGCTTATGGCGTTTATTCTTTCGGGCTCTGCAGAGCTCTATCTCATGTTATTTAACAGCTAATGAAAGTTAAATTGCTCAAAGATCTAAAATGCAGTGCCAGTAGCTTTTCTTTTTTATCAGTTCCTGATGAGGCAGTGGAAGTACCTAATCATTATGATACTACACTGACCTGAAGATCAATAAATTAAAGTTTAATCCAGACAAGACTGCAATACTGTTAGTGAGTGGTTCATCAATCTATGTAGATGTCAGTCTGTTGTGGAAGTGTCTTCTGTAGCGTAGACTGCCATTAACAGCTTAGACTGGTTTACCAGCTACAACTTTATCTAGATGGAAACAGCTTGTTATCCACGATTGTGATCTCCAACTTCTCATTTAGATGATCACAACACATTATGTGTAGGGTTGCCCTTGAAGATGGTCTGAAAATGTTACATAGTGTCTGGAACTAAGTTTTAATAATATTTACTAAAAGGAAAGCTGGTCCACCCCCCTCCCCCAAATTATTTACGGTAACTTTAAAATAGAATTACCATCTTAGGTTTGTTGAAAATATGACAATGGAGGCAGACTATATTGCCTTTTGTAGAGGAGTGAATAAATACAGGATCATCTTCCTTTTGGAAAAATATGGTATCTTCACTTCCCCTAGTAAACTTCTAAGCCAAAATCAAAATGGTAGTGCTAACCTTCATTGCAATGTTTCAAGGACTATCTCTTCCCATATTTTTCTATCTGAGATCATCATCAAAGGCCTGCACTCATAACCCCCAGCTATGTAATATGCTCCTGAGAAAAGCCAACTGTGCTATTTTTTTTCAGCCCCAGGCAAAAAATGTTTAATTTTCCCTTTTAATTGCCTATACTATTGCTGCAATCAGTACTCTTATTTAGGGGGGGATTTTCTCTGCTACTTTAGATTCTGTTACAATTATTGTTCTGCTATGATTCTGTATTGATTTCAGCTGTGTTGGCTGAGAGAGACTGTTAGGAAACTAAACAATTTTAGAAATAAATGTCAACTTATTTTACTGATCCATCATCAGAACTGTATACAGATTTATGGGAGTTCTGTTATTCTGTTACTCAACGGCATTCAAGAAACTGATCTACATTAAACTTGCCTAAAAAAACTTCATTTTATTCTTTTTTGTACATAAGGCCAATATTACTACACTTCAAAAATCATCACTGCCAAGGACAAATATTAAGAGACAATAATCTATTTCTCTACCACTACCAGCAATTTTCACTAATCACTAAAAGTCTCTTTTAGTTTTAATAAAAGTCACTAGCTACACTTGCAAGATACTTCAGTGACCTGTCACATCATTATTTTTAAAAACAGCTATGTGAAGACATTCTAAAAGGCATGGTGCATAGCAATCAACACTTATTAGTTCTTATCACTTAACTGGTGTTGGATTCCTGAATAATTCCATGCAAATTTACATATGCTTATTGGAAGCTGGAGATGGAAACTATATTCAGTCAAGCTCCACAGGGTGGAGTCTCATTGGAGCTAACAACATCTCAGTATCTCAGCACTGTACAATCTTTTTTCTGCTTCAGTGCGGGACAATCCCCCTTGAAAGTGGCATTTGCTTTCTGATTATTATTATGCTTGAATCTCTGCATATTTGACAGCTATCACCAGAAATGCCACTGGAAGAGATTTCAGATGGGAGGAGGCCCAAGCAGTGAGGAGACCAACCCATTTAACATAACTGATTCCAGAAGGAAGCTGTGAAAGGGGGGAAGCTGGATCCACAAGCAGCTGTTTAATACACCCATAAATGAGAAAAGGAGCTAATGCTTCTTCCGCCTCAAGCCTATCCTTTCCAGCTCAGTGCAGAGTGAAGGAATAATTACCCCCCCAGTAAAGTATCTCTCCTATGGGTCCTTAGGGCTTCTATTTCCATAGGCACATGCGCAGTAACTACCCCAGCGCTCTTCGCCCCACTCCTCATATAAAGAGAAGACCCCGCACGCCGACTAGCCTTCAACCCCGCTCCTGCGTATCTTGAAATTGTGTATTACCAAGACTTCGGGGAGAGATGGGGTGGGCCATTTGCATTCCCTCCCCCCCAAGGCTTAGCTGGATGAATGGACATGTACGCCCAGCCCCATCGGGGGGAAATGGGTGTTTTCCCCCCATCTCCGAGTCAGAAAAAACAGAACAGCCCGACCCCAGGCGCCGATTTCACGCCGACACCTTCGTTGCCCGTCTGGGGGAGCCTCCCCGGTCCGAAGCGGCGGCGCAGCCACCCAAGCTCGGCTTTCTGCACCCCACCCGGGGCTCAGCCGCCTGGAGACGGCAGGGGCTCCTCCGCGGAGCCTCCAAGGGCGAAAATGGTGGGGGAAGGCGGGGTGCTTTGGCCTGCCCTCCCCTCCTTTTCCCGGGGTGAAGGGAAGAGGGTGCTCACCGCGGCGGGGGCGGCGGCGGCGGCGCTCCTCCTTCTCCTCCTCTCCCAACGCCCTTGTTGCTACCGGCGGCCGCTGGCTTGAGTGGCGGAGCAGGCGGCTTCCCTTCCCTTCCCGCTGCGGCTGCGCTGCTCTCGCTCGCGCTGGAAGCGGAGCCCGACGAAGGATCCCCCGCGCGGGCGACGCCCCCCCGCCGCGCGCTCCCTCCTCGCCACCGC